GATCCCGAATCCCTGGATCCCTGAATCCCTGGATCGCTGGATCCCTGGATCCCTGGGTCCCTGGATACCTGGGTCCCTGGGTCCCTGGATACCTGGGTCCCTGGATCCTTTGATCTCTGGATCTTTTGATCCCTGAATCCCTGGATCCCTGGATCCCTGGCCTTCTGGATCTCTGGCCTTCTGGATCCCTGGATTTCTGGATCCCTGGGTCCCTGGATCCCTGGATCCCTGGATTTCTGAATCCCTGGATTTCTGGATCCCTGGATCCCTGGATCCCCGGGTCCCCGGATCCCTGGATCCCTGGATCCCTGGATCCCTGGGTCCCTGGATCCTTTAATTAATTTAATTTATTGACCAGGTGTAATGAGACAATAGAGGGCAGGACATGAAAGACTCAGAAAAAATGCCCCTCACGAGGCCGATCTGAGTAGGGGAGGGGAAACGGGATAATTTAGATATTTGACACAGGAAAGATGTAACCGGTAGAAAAAGAAAAATAGGGAGCAAATATATCAATAACGGGTAATACTGGAAGAAATTAAGGATTCAAACTCGGAAGGTAGGAGAAATCGGGTAACTTGGGAAGTGATGGCGTTCCACAAGGGAACAATCGTTCCACAAGGGAACAATATCCTTTGATCTCTGGATCTTTTGATTCCTGGATCCCTGGATCCCTGAATCCCTGAATCCCTTGATCCCTGGTTTCCTGGATCCCTGGATCCTTTGATCTCTGGATCCTTTGATCCCTGGATCCCTGGATCCCTGGATCCCTGGATCCCTAAATCCCTGGATCTTCATAAATTGTGAATTTTTTTTGATTTTCCAATTTTTTTGATTTTTCATATATTTTGAATTTCAGGGTTTTTTGATTTATTTACTTTTTTGAATTTTTAAAGTTTCCAGAATTTTCATTTTTGTGGTTTTTTGAGAATTTTTATTTTTATAAACTTTTTCAGAATTTTTGATGTTTTTTTTTTTGGAAAATTTGAAATTTTAGAAATTTGACATTCTCCCCATTTTCAGAGTCTTTTCTGTGAATTTTCTGAATTTCTGTTTTTTTTCAGATTTCTTCAGATTCTTTCTGAAGTTTATTGTTCTCTTCCACTAGAAAAGTTCAAAAAACCTTCTTTTTTTTTTTAAATCGTGTAACAAAACTGTTCTCCCAGTTCATCAAACGTCAATTGCCATACAAATTAAATAGCGAATTGAACAAAAAAGATGATTCACTTTCCCAAAAAAAATTTGATTGACTTCCGTTCATTCTTGCGGTTTCCCTTTCTCTTTCAAATTACACTAAATCGCTCTCGTTGTTTTTCTAGGGCCATAACTCGCTTCAAACTCAGAATTTTTGTTTGATATGTATATCAAAATGTAGATCTCGACGAGACCTTCAAAATGATACCAGATTCGGCTATATCCCAATGGCAATTTTCGAACGAAATGCCAATAAAATCCTCCTGCATGACAACCCAGAAAATTTCATTCAAACCCATCTAATTTCGATTTATTTTAAACCAAGTTTAAGGCAGCTATGCGCCTTTAATGTTGAAGAAGAGACGCAGACAGTTAGAGTGTCTCGTTGTCTGCGTCTCGCCTAAACTTCAAATCGCTGCATCTCGGTTCCAAGATGCCCTAAAAGCGTGATTTTTAGATAGAATTGGAGGGAATATCTTATACTTTAAGGTGCTTCAAGAAAAGTTCTAAATTTTAATATTTTTAAATTTGGAATGTTTGATGTTCTATAGAAGATCACGTGCCAATTGAGAACAGGTTTCAAATTAAACAATTCAAAAGAAAAACCAACGTTTTAGCTTGTCTAAAACCTGAGATACAGCCTTAAAGTTTTGAAGAGACGCAGACTGTGAGAGTGTCTCGTCGTCTGCGTCTTTAACCTATCAAGCTTCAAATCGCTGTATCTCGGCTTCTGGGAAAGCTAGAAAAGTGAAATTTGGACAGAAATTTTGCTAATTTTCGGTCCTATTTGATTTTTATAAAAATAACCTGTTTTTGAGGATTTGAATGTATCAAAAACTTTTTTATGATTTTCGAATTTTAAGATATTTCCAGAAAATGCATAAAATCTTCTCTGAAACCCACCAAAAACCACTTTTCCAGCTTCTCTAGAACCCGAGATACAGGCATTTGAAGTTTTGAAGAGACGCAGGCACTCTAGCTGTCTGCGTCTCTCTGTCGGCCACGGAGAAGCAGACAGTTAGAGTGTCTCGTTGTCTGCGTCTCTCATCTCCATAACTTCGAATGCCTATATCTCGGCTTCCAGAAAAGCTAGAAAAGTGAAATTTGGACAGAAATTTTGCTAAAGCTATTTGATTTTTATAAAAATAATCTGTTTTTGAGAATCTAAATGTATGAAAAACTTTTTTATGATTTTCGAATTTTAAGATATTTACAAAAAATACATAAAATCTTCTCTGAAACCCACCGAAAACCACTTTTCTAGCTCATCTAGAACTCGAGGTACAGCCATTTGAAGAGACGCAGACAGTTAGAGTGTCTCGTTGTCTGCGTCTCTAGCCTCCAAAACTTCAAAGAGCTATATCTCGGCTCACAGACAAGCTAGAAATACGGATTTTTCACACAATTAGCCAGAATTTCCTCTTTTTTTAACCAATTTACAAACTCCTGAACAGTCTGCTTTCTCATAAAGCAAATTCTCATCAATTCACACAACGGGTCATCAAGAAAAAAAAGTGTATCTGAACTATTTACACAATAAGTACCAACAATTAGATGATCCTTTCCCCAGTGGTTATTCTTAGATATGCCCCCCTCCCCCCCCCCCCTCTCTCTCTCTCTCTCTCTCTCTCTCTCTCTCTCTCTCTCTCTCTCTCTCATTCAGTTTTCCGAAATTCTCGACTCCGCCCACTGGAAACTTTCAAATCGTTCGTCAATCCCCTCTCACGAAGCCGTCGCCGTGTCCCCTCCCAACTAGTTTTCCTCTCATAAGCACCCCGTATGTGTACTAGAAAGTTCTTCTGGGCAAAAAGGTGATGGCCATTCGGAGGAGAGGTGGGGGATCTAAAGCCAACCAGACCCTGTAGTAGGAACGATTAGCCGGTATAGGAATAGGTGGTTGTGTATGTATTCCTATTATTGTCGGGTTGGGTTTTTTCTTCTTCCTTTCTTTTTTTACACTTTTTTCTTTCAGTTTTCGTATTTTTGAGAGTTAGCTAGAATATTTGTTGTTACAGTAACCTCTCTAATCGAATGCCTATGCCCCCCAAACCATCAACTTTGAGCCCTTTTATCTTATTTCAGGTAAAAGATATCAGAAAGTGGTCAACTGATAAAATGTTTATCATAATATCAAATATATTTTCTTAGTTGACCACTTTTTAAGGATACGGCAGTTTTAGTTTTCACATTGTTTATACAGTACTAGTGGTTAAAAATGTCCCAAATGGCGAAAAGTTTTTATTCAATTTTCTCATCATCTGAAAATATGGAAATTTCTGGAAATCTGAAAACTTCTACAATTTTTTTTTTGAATTTTCGAGATTCCCAAGTTTTCTGACTTATCACGTTTTTTGAAAATTTCATCTGCGTTTCCGAATTCCTGAACTTTCAGAAAAATCCAAATTTCTGAAAATTTCGAATTTTTGAAAATTTGGAATCTTTCGGAAATTCTTAAATTTTGGAATCTGGAATTTTTTCTCGAATTTTTCGGACTTTTTCTCGAAATTCCGATTTTTGGATTTTTTCGATTTTTTAGGAGTTTAGAATTTCTATAAATATTTGAAAATCATAGAATCTTATGATTTGTGCGTCCTTCAAGTTTCCAAAACATTCTTTAAGAATTTTCTTTCCGTTTTCTCTGCGTCTCTCTCTCTCTCATGTCATAATTTGTTTGTTATTTTTTCAGAAAAAAAAACAAGAAACTTCTGGAGATCGTCATCCATTTATAAGAAGATCAAGAAGAAGACAAAATGTCTTCAATGACATCACTATTTCTATTCTTGTCCAGTTTGGCAGGAGGTAAGGGTATTGGTGGCCTAGAATTTTCTAGCCCCCCCAACCTTAAAAGTCCTAATACTTTTCTCAAATTTGAACATTTTGAAAAATTCAAAATGCATAGTGTAGGTATTGTTAAGAGCTTCAAAACAATCAAAACCTTACCAACTTCCACTGGCCTAGAATACCAAAATATAGTTCACCGAATTCAGAAGCTCGTAACTCTTTTCCCGTCCAACATTTTGAAAAAACTCAAAATGGAAAATTTAGGTCTTGACAAGGGCTTCAAGACGATATAAAACATAAACAACGTTCAACAGAGCTAATTTTTGACGATCAGACTATTAAAAGTAGTCACATCTTATATCAAATTGGAGCTCTTGTCAAGACCTACATTTTGCAATTTGAATTTTTGAAAAATCTCAATTCCGAAAAAAGTTACTAGAACTTCTGTCTAGCTTGCCCTTTTTCAATAAGCTTTCATTTCTCCTCTCCACAATTAGTCATCTTTTTTCTTTCCGTTCGGCAGAAAAAGGATATTCACTAAATTGTTTGAAAAAAAAAAGAGAACTAGCTGGTTTTACAAATAAAAGTGAAAAGTAAATTGAAATTTTTTTGCCTCTCAAACTGTGAGGCAAACCAAAACGTTAATCTGAAGGGGATTTATAATTCAGATGAATGGCCTAGAAAACCAAAGAGGGAGTTTCTAGGCCACCTTAAAGGCAAAAGTTGGATTTCTAGGCCAGTAAAAGTTTTAGCCATCTAGCTTGCTTGAAAATCAGAATTTTTGGAAAATTTAAACTGGAAATTGTAGGTCTTGAAAAACGCTTCAAAATCATATAAAGTATGATAAGTTTTGATCGGACCATTCTCCTTCACTAACCGATAGAAGTGAACCATGTTTTATATAATTTCAAAGTTTGGAATAATACCTAATAATTCAAAAATCCCAATTTTTAACAAAGTTATGACCTAAAAACCAGAAACTATTTTAGTTTGATGGATTTAAGGGTGTAACTTTCTCCAAAATCGATATTTTTGGAAAATTCAAACTGCAAATTGTAAGCCTTGAAAAGAGCTTCAAGGTCATATAAGGTATGATAATTTTTGATCTCATCATTCTTCATCACTAGCAAATCGAAGAAAATTGTGTTTTATATCATTTTAAAGCTCTTAACAAGACCTACATTATACAATTTGAATTTTACCAAAATTCCAATTTTGAAAGAAGTTACGCTCTAAAAACCAAAGTCTCTTCCAGGTTTTTAGATTACAGGGCGTAACTTTTTCCAAAATCAGCATTTTCGAAAATTCTAAAATGCAAATTGTAGGTCTTAAAAAGCGCTTTAAAATGATCTAATCCATAATAATAATAATTTTTGATATTCTAACTTTCAGCCCGTAGCCATCCTTAAATAGCTGTGTTTTATATCGTTTTGAAGCTCTTAACAAGTCCTATCTCTTCCAATTGGAAAGCCCTTCAAAATCATATAAAATATGATAGTGTTTGATCGAACCATTCTCTATCACTAGCTGATGGAAGAGAACTATGTTTTATATCATTTTGAAGCTTTTAACAAGTTCTACATTTTCCAATTTGAATTTTTTAGAAATTCCAATCTTGAAAGAAGTTAAGAACTAAAAACCAACCCCTGTTCATGTTTGATAGTTTTCAGAGCGCAACTTTTTTCAAACTTCACTTTTTTCTGATTTGTAAATTGCAAAATGTAGGTCTTGCAATTGCAAAATGTAGGCAAAGCGCTTCAAAGTGGTATATAACATGTCTTATTTCCAATGTCTACTTCTTGATAACAGGACCATCAAAGCTAGTGATTTTTTATATCATATTAAAGCTCTTAACAAGCCCTAGATGTCGCAATTTGAATTTTTCAAAAGTTCCAATTTTGAACAAAGTTACGCACTAAAAACCAAAGTCTATTCCAGGTTGTTGGATTTCAGCTCGTAACTTTTTTCACCATCAATATTTTTGAAAAATGTAAATTTCAAAATGTAGGTCTTGTTAAGGGCTTTAAAATGATATAAATTATCATTTTTCTTGATCTCTCAGTTTTTGGTCCATAGCTGTTTGAACATAGTCATGTGTAATATCATTTTGAAGCTTTTTACAAGACCTACACATTGCAATTTTAATTTCTCATATTTTGAACAAAGTGCCGCCCTGATAACCAAGGTCTATTCCAGGTTGTTGGATTTCAGGGAGTAACTTTTTTCAAACTCAACTTTTTTTTATTTGCAAATCGCAAAATGTAGGTCTTGAAAAGAGCTTCAAAGTGGTTTAAAACATGCTTTATTTCCAATGTCTACTTCTTGATGACAGGATCATCAAAGCTAGTGATGTTTACCCTCATTTTGAAACCCTTAACAAACCCTAGATGTCGCAATTTGAATTTTTCCAAAATTCCAAGCTTGAGCAAAGTTACGCCCTAAAAACCAAAGCCCATTCCAGGTTGTTGGATTTCAGCTCGTAACTTTTTTCGATTGGCAAAATGTAGGTCTTAGAAAGCGCTTTAAAATTATATACAACCCATCTAACTTCTATGGCTACTGCTCAACGATAAGACCTCCAAACCTAGTATTGTTTCATATCATATTGAAGCTCTTAACAAGCCCAATCTCTTACAATTAGAATTTTTTGAAAATTCCGAATCTGAGGAAAGTTACACCTCCAGTAACCGGAACTATTTTCAGCCTACTCCCTGCAATGCTACATATGCGGCGATGCTGGACTCGACGAGTTCGGCGAGTGCAGTTCACAATTCCAATATGACTGTAATGACTATGCAAGAAGATTCCCGCCAACCGAGAAGATATACTGTAGAAGTACCAGGACCCGAAATTCGACAAGTAGTGAGTTGTTTTTGGGAAAAAATGAGCCATGTTTTGAGAAATTACATTTCACAGATTTTATAAATTCTCTGTTTACCCAAATCATCCATCCGGAAACTCTATGCGCACTTTAGGGTCGAGTAATGTTATGATATCTCTAGCCAACCATGACTTCCGATTCGGGTCAAGATCGGTTTCCTGTCTGTCTGTGTGTCTGGATGTCCGCGGAAAATTCAAAAAGTTCTGGCGCGGGTTTGAGCCAAGCTATAGCTCTGAAGGCTAGAGACGCAGACAACAAGACAGTCTAGCTGTCTGCGTATCTTCAAAGTTGGCTGTATCTCGGTTTCTAAGATAGCTAGAAGAATGATTTTAAGTGGGAATTGGAGGAAATTTTTTGTTTTTTTTTGGGGTTTGGTTCAAAATCGAAAATTTCAAAAATAAAAATTTGGGATAATATTTAAAATTTTTTCATAGAAAATCAAATAGCACCAAAAATTTGAAAATTCTGTCTAAATTTCATTTTTCTAGCTTCTCTAGAAACTGAGATAAAACGTTTTGAAGCTTTAGAGGCTAGAGACACAGACAACGAGACTTTCTCGATGTCTGCGTCTCCACAGAACTTCAAATGGCTGTATCTCGGCTTTAAGGTAGTCTGGAAATTTGGTTTTTGGACATGTCCTCAAGATATTTTTCGCTTTTCTGAATTTTTCCGAAAAAGCCTCTCTTTCTGCCCTCCATTCATAAAAATGTAGATTCTCCTGTCTCCCTTAAATCCCAAAATTCTAGGTCAAAACTTTACAAATCTCATAAGATTTAAATCTTCATCTTCTCGCTTGCCCTGCCGGTTCAAAAAGAGAGAAAGTTTCACGAAAGTATAATATTTTGTGTATGTGACCGATCCGCCGGATTGTCCCCCCTATTGTTTGCCGACCCACCCGAATTAGCTTGGATCGGAGTAGCCGAAAACTAAATCGGACTGCTTCTTCTCTGCGTCTCTCTCTCTCTCTCTCTCTCTCTCTCTCTCTCTCTCTTTCTCTCTTTCCAAGTTCACATCCGTCGAGATATAGGGGATAGATTGGCAAAGGTTTAGTGGTAAAGCTAGTTTTGTTCCATGCGCGGAAGACATCAGGGGAACAGACAGACTGGAAAAATATAAGAACCGTTGAAAAATGAAGATGCTGCGACTAGAACAGTGAGAAAAGAAAGTTTCTAGCCCTTCTAGAAGCCGAGATACAACCGGTAAGAGAGACGCAGACGACGAGACACTCTGCGTCTCTAGCTTCCTAAGCTTCAAACCGCTATATCTCCGCTCCCAGAAGAGCTAGCCACTCGAAGTTTTCGCTGAAAAACAAATCAAGTTTTGCAGAAACCTACACAATCATGAAAGAATGTATTTCGGAACGCGATCACTACACCAAATACCCGCAAAAAGGGTATAGTATCGATGAAGAATGCGACTTGGTGGATGTTCAAGGCGTCGAAATGGCCTACTGTCTCTGTCGATCGGATAACTGTAACCGTAATCCGATAGCTGAGCAATTCATGGATTTCGAAAAGAAGCATCCAGAACTGTTTGGAGATATTGATGAGCAGCCGGCTGCTGCTCCTCCAGCACCTCCTCGGGCTCCGCCCACTTTCAGATCCGGAGAGGCACCGCTGAAGATTCAACCGCTGCCTGCTGGAATGGTTCCGAACTTGCCGCAAGCGTCTTTTGCTGCGCCGATTCTAAATCCACCGGCGATAGTACCGGTTAATGATTTGAGGGTGAGAATTTATCCAGAATTTGAGTTTTTTGAATTTTCTGAATAATCGAAAATCTGAAAGTTAAACTGGCGGAAAGATGACGTTTCTAGCTCTTCTAGAACCAAAGATACAGCAGTTTAAAGTTTATGAGAGGTTCCAAGAAGAGCAAGAAACCTGAAATTTTTTTAGAAAAAAGCTAATAAAATTCTTTCAGACTCAACCACAATCCAAATCCTCTGAAATCATTGAAATCCGTCGTTCTCAACTCCCATCCAGAGCGTCTGGAATCGAAACAGAAATTAGCAATCAACCACAACGACCGATTTCGAATTCCCGCGAAACTGAGATTCCGTTGATGAATCTTCCAGCCCAAACTATCAGTCAAGGAACGTTCGTTGGAAGTGGACAGATTGTTCCAAAACCACCACAGTTGCCGACGAAAGGTGAGACTTTTTGAAATTTTAAAGTTGGGATCTGAATAAGCAGGAAATTCTGGTTAATTCTGTGAAAAATCCATAATTCTAGCTCATCTGGGAGCCGATATATAGCTTTTTTGAAAATTATCCTTTCTGACTGTCTGCGTCTCTCTTGCCGCTGTTAGAGACGCAGAGTGTCTCGTCGTCTGCGTCTCTGCAAAACTTTGAAGCGCTATATCTCGGCTCTCAGATGAGCTAGATTTCTGGAACGTTTTGGAAAATATTACATTTTCAAAATTACAAATTTCAGTTTTAAAACCAACTTTCTAGCATCTCTATAAGTCGAGATACGGTTCACTGAAGAGACGCAGGCAACGAGACACTCTAACTGTCTGAGTCTCACAAAACTTCAAATGGCTATATCTCAGCTTCTAGTTAAGCTAGAAAGATGAAATCTTTACAGAAATGTTTAGAATCTGTGATATTTTCATATTTTAAAATGTTAAAGTTTCCAGAAGTTTCCTCATCAACCATGCGATGCATTCAGTGTGGTGATGGATCGTTGAGAAACGCGAACGAAGAATGCAAGAGACAAGTCCAGGTGGAGTGTGATTCTGAGAGATCTCTGTGTTTTACAAGGCAAATTGAACTTGGAAATGGTAAACTTTTTTGTTGGGATTCCTTCTAAAAATCTATAATTTCAGGAATGTACGGCATGGAAAAAATGTGTGTGCTCCCTGAGCAGCTGGTCAATGAGTTTGGAGAATTGGCGAGAAACGAGGGGTGCGGAAGTTCGAATGCCGGAAGAGTACAGTACTGCGCTTGCTCATCTCCAATTTGCAATCAATTGCCGTTGGCTCAGCAGGTAAGACATTTGTGAAAAATTCAATTTTCTAGCTTTTCTGGGAGCCGAGATATAGCGCTTTGAAGTTTTGGAGGCTAGAGACGCAGAGTGTCTCGTCGTCTGCGTCTCTTCTAAACTTTAAAACGTTGTATCTTGAGTTCTAGAAGGGCTAGAAGAATGATTTTTGGACGGATATGTGTCAAATTGTTTGCCAAACCAAGCACTTTTAAAATTGACACGATTTTGATAAAAAGCGTAAAATTATTTTTTCCAATTTTTGAAAAAATGTGAAAACCAGACATTTTTTTCAACGATTTCTTTGATTCGTGTCTAGTTTTCCTCTTTCTAGCTATTCTAGGAGCCGAGATATAGCGCTTTGAAGTACCGGGGAGACGCAGACAACGAGACAATCTAACTGTCTGCGTCTCTTCTAAACGCTATATCTCGAGTTCTAGAAGAGCTAGAAAGATGAAAATTAGACGGACAGTTTGCGAATTTTCAGTACTGTTTCACTGCTATAAAAACACTTGTTTTGGGAAAGTTTGATTTTTGAAATTTTTGGGATTACTCATTTTTCATAAAGAAGCAAATGCAAAGCCAAATATAGGAGGCCCAGAAAATTATTTTTTCGACAGATCACGTAAAGTTTTTAGCTGTTTGAGACAAAATTTTGAGGATGAAAAAGTTCAGTTTTTTTTCGGAAAATGTAATTTTCCAGAAATTTTCATGGAAAATCTAATAGCATCAAGAATTTGCAATATTTCTGTCAAAACTTCATCTTTCTAGCTCTTCTAGGAGCCGAGATATAGTGCTTTGAAATAGAGAAGAGATGCAGACGACGAGACGCTCTAACTGTCTGCGTCTCTGCAAAAATTCTAACCTCTGTATCTCGGGTTCTAGAAGGGCTAGAAACTTTGTTTTTTCCCTGTTCTACTCTTCAGAATCTCTATTTTCCAGATAATTCAAAAAATTCAAATTCAAATCTTTTTGGCTTCTAGAAATGCAATTCAGAAAAGTTTAATTCCTTTATTCTAATTTCTAGAATTGCCAGAAAAAAAGCCTGGGACTTCTCTAAATCTCCTATCTCTCATCCAAATCAAATCCCACCACTTCTACATAAATACATACTAAATTCTCATTGAAAAACAGTCAACTTGTAAAATAGTTCTTGACTCTCTTTCAACAATTCGGGTCAAGTGTGATTTGTCAATTTGTCTCTCGGGGCACTGTCATCAAAAAGTCTCCAGAATCGAAGACACTTCATTGAGGGAAAAGAAGAAGAAAAAGGGGGTCGGATGTATTATAAATTATGCATATACACATAGTTTAATTGCGCGCTTTTTACAACACCTTTTCGTCTATGTGTTCTTGTTCCGCCCGAGAATTCCCGGGAAAAAAAGAAGAATCGGAAACTGAGAGGAAAGGGGATTCTCAGATTCTAGATCTAGATTTTAAGACAGATTTTAAGAGAGATTTCCAGCTTTGAAACACTGGAATTTCAGCCTTAAAAATCGGTATAAAATTCAGAAAATCAAAATTCAGAATTACATTTCTTAGATAGTTTGAAAGTCTAGAAAAAATGCTCCAAATCTCACCAAAAATCACTTTTCTAGCTGCTCTAGGAGCCGAGATACGGGGATTTAAGCTGTGGGAGGCTAGATACGCAGACAACGAGACACACTGCGTCTCTAGCCTCCAAAGCTTCAAATCACTATATCTCGGCTTCTAGACAAGCTAGAAAGCTGTAATTTGGACAGAAAGATTGCAAATTTCAGTTTCGTTCGATTTACCAAAAATGTACACTCAAAAATCTAAAATTTTGAGATTTCGAAGACATTTTAAAGTTTCCGGCGTTTTCGAACCATTAAGGAAAATGATATATACAGAAAATTGTTTAGATAATCTGAAAGTCCAGAAAAATGCTCCGAATCTCATCAAAAATGACTTTCCAAGCTGTTCTAGGAGCCGAGATACAGTGCTTTGAATTTTGGAGAGACGCAGACCGTTAGAGTGTCTCGTCGTCTGCGTCGCTAGCTTCCAATCTTTAAAGCGATGTATCTCGGCTCAAAGATAAGCTAGAAACATGAAATTTGAACAGGGAGATTGCAAATTTTAGTTTTGTTCGATTTACTGAAATGTAATCTCAAAAATCGGAAAATTTTGTATGAAATCGAGTTTTTATTCAAGAAATCGCTTTAAAAAGTCCAAAATTCGATATTTTCGAAAAACTTGGAAATGCAGAAAAGTTTCTCCAAATCTTACCAAAAGTTACTTTTCTAATTTTTCTAGGATCCGAAATATAACGCCTTAAAGCGTGAAGCTTGGGATGCTAGAGACGCAGACCACGAGAAATTTTTTGTCTCTAGCCTCCAAAGCTTCAAGTCACTATATCTTGTCTCCTAGACAAGCTAGAAACATGAAATTTTTACAAGAACAATGTCAATATTTCGATCTATCCAGAGCTACTAGAATCGAAACAGTCTTTTCTGTTTCAATATAACAGAACCCTACATTTCAGCGCCAACTCCTCACCGCTATCGCTCCTTCCCGCTCAAAAACTGTTCCGGACCTTCCAACTCCAGAGCTCCCGATCCCTCAACCTCCGAGATTCGCGGAAATCCCAGCACCTCCAACGAACCCTCCACCACCACCTCCACCGCCAACGAACCCACCAACACCTCCACCTCCACCGCCAACCACAACCCGGGCCCCTCAAAAACCAATCATCCCATCAGTGGTCCATCGTCCACAAATGCCATCGCTGATATGTATCACTTGTGGTGAAGCCAACATGTCTGATCCGACTGCTGATTGCTCATCATCTACTGAAGAGGCGTGTGGTGTCGAGGCAAAGTTCTGTGTCACAAAACAGACTCAGATTAGTACCAGTAAGTCCTTTAGGGGGTTTTAGGATTCTCAGAATCATGATAAAACGATTGTTCGAGTTCTTGGAACTCTCCAAATATCAATTTTTGTTTAGGTTCGTTCGCTATGGAGAAGAGATGTCTATCGGAAGTTGAAGCAGCAGTGTTTCTACCCGGCGAGAAGGTGAGGCGCTTTTTTGTTTGGCTCATAACTTCCTTTGAACTTTATATATTTTGAAAATTTGAAAAAGGTACTGTAGAACTTTTAAAAAGCTACAAAACCATACAAATTCTGTTTGAATATATTGGGTTTAAGAAACGTTCTGATCGGAAGTGATGCCTTGGCTTCAGAGAACTCATTTTGTTTTGAACTTCAATCAAACTTCATATTTTCTAAACATTCAAAAAGATACTGTAGAACTTACAAAGAGCTACTCAAGATATTTGAATCTGAACATTTTCAGCTCGCCGAGGGATGTGCAACCAGTGAGGGTGGCCTTGTGAACTACTGTATCTGCCGCGGAAACACCTGCAATCGACCCTCCCTTCTGCAACAGGCGCAGTCAACGGGGTTAGTGATTTTACGTCATTTTCCAGTTTTATAGCCTAAAATTGAAGAAAGTTATAAATTTCAAATTTCAACATTTTCAAAAAAATTCAAATAAAGGGTAATTTCAGTGTTCGCGATTCGTTGGAAGAGCAACGTCTCATCGAGGAGGAAATTCAAAAATCGCAACGTTTGGCAAATGCGATTCAGACGAATCGGGTGCCGAATCAAGCCAACGTTGGGGTACTACCACCTCATAGTCATGAGTCTTCCAGGTGAGCAGGACATCGGGCCAGTGAGAACGTCGTAACTTTTTTTGAACTTCATATTTTTCGAAAATCAAAAAAGGATACTGTAGGACGTAAAAAGAACTACAAAACGATTAAATTTTTGTTGACATATGTTGAGTTTGAAAGAAGTTACATGGACGGTGCCACAGAAGCTTAATCGCATGTTGTTGCAGGCCTCTCTCTTTTTGGCTCATAACTTACCTCAAACCTAGTATTTTCAAGAAATCTAAATTGATTATGGTAGAACAAAAAATGAGCTACAAAACTATATAAAATTTGTAAACTTTCCAATGTAGAGTTTTTGAAAAGAGTGGCCCTAAACAGGTATGTACGCGCACCTTATTGTAAGGCCCCATTCTCAAGTGCTTCGACCCAAGACCTCTATCCAAAAATTGATGAATTTTATATCGAATTGTAGAACATTTCAAATTCTATATTTTGCATCTTGAATTTTTTTAAAATTCACAGCTTGAAGCAAGTTATGAGCTTGTGAAGGTGGTAAGTTCGTTTAGCTTCGATGCGCGCTGACACCTTGCCTCTTATGGCAGATAACTTGCTTCAGGCGTAATAACTTTTGAAAAATTTTATATTGAACTGTAGTTCTTTTTGAATCCTACATGACCCTTTTTTAATTTTTTTTAAATATTCCAAGTTTGAAGCAAGTTATGACTTTGTGAATGAGGTGGGCTCTTGTAGCTTCAATACGTGCTGCCACTTATTCTTTCTTGACCTATAACTTGTTTGTTGTTAAAGATATGAAAAAGTTGTCAACTAGCAAAATGTATAAAATTTTAAGACAAACTTTTTTCTGGTTTACAATTTTTCAAAAACTTTTACAGGAACTGAGAAAAATGAGTTTGAAAAAAATCAACATGAAAAATCATAAATTTGGTGATATCTCAGCTCAAAATGTAGTTAGAAATGTCAGATAACCTGAAAATTATCAGTAATTTTTTCCAGCAACCGAAATGACAAGCCAAAACTTCCACCGGTCTTCCTGGACGAAGATGACTCGTTGGAAGTTGCCAAAGATGTCAGAACAGAAGAAGATATCATAAAAGACCGACAAAAAGAGTGGGCAAAAGCGGCAGAGACACGAACGGCACCGAGTAGCTATGTCACATTGACAAATGCCCTACTTGCCATTTCAGTTTTGTGTTTTCTTTGAATTCAAAATTTAATTTATTTAAAAATCTGAAACATTCTTCAAAAAACCACGTCATTAGATCTTCTCCCCGCGATTTTAATTCCTCTCCAATCCGTACCAAAATTGGCTCACATTATGGGTTTTCATCTGTAATTTATTCGTTTTAAAGCTTTTAAGAACATTTTTTGTGTATTTTTTGAATTTTCTGAAAATAAATTCTTTACAAAATTTTGTCTTCCACTCCTCTTCAGGTCGCCACCACCTCCCCTTTCTTATACGCCTTGCCACCACTCCTCTCTCACGCTCCGTTGTGGTCTAGTGGTTAGGATTTATGGCTCTCACCCATAAGGCCGGGGTTCGATTCCCCGCAACGGAATATGTTTTTTGTTTTCTTTTTTAAGTTGTTTTTGGACCTTTGTTATTGATTTTAGGGTGTTTTCAGGCTTTCCTATGGTCCAAAGAGCATCAATTTTCGATTTTTCCTTTCCACTCAATTTGACTCCTCACAGGTCACTCTTTTTCATTCATCCTTCTCCACCCTTCCTCTATCATGTTCTTCTCTCGTTTTTCCAGAAAATTCTATAGGAGAGACCCAATTATCGGTGTGTATTAACATATGTATGATGATGAAAAGCTTGAATAATTCAAACGAGTCAGGAGAGAGAGAGGAGTCTCTGGTGGTCCCGACGCATCCATTTTTTTATTATTAAGCTGAGCAATGGCGGAAAAAGGAAAAGCAGAGGAAGGAAAAAGAAGTTATGTGTCATTTCTTTTTCCTGTTCCAGAAATTTTTTCCCTTTTATTGTTATTTAACACTTCCTTGTTCTTCTAGAATCTCTACTTTTTGAAATCTCAATTTTTTAGCTTTTTTCAACATAAAGTATGGGTAAATAGAGCTCCTAAGAAAGTTATTAAACCAATTTCTTAATATTAAGGTCCCAAAAAATTATATTAAAATTCGCATTCAAAAATGAAGAGTACTTTTTATTTACTCCAAAAAGAGCTCGTCGCCTAAGGCTTCCATACGGATTCTAAAAGTTTTCACGAACTTATCATTCGAAACTACTATTAAAATGGCCTAGAAAAATCTACTTTCCAATTCTCGGCCATTTTTTGAAAATTTTAAATTTTTATAATTTTTTTCTCCTCACCTCACCTCCCTTCTCCCCCCTCTCAGATCGCCACCACCTCCCTCTTCTTATACGCCTTGCCGCCTCTCCTCTCCCACGCTCCGTTGTGGTCTAGTGGTTAGGATTTATGGCTCTCACCCATAAGGCCGGGGTTCGATTCCCCGCAACGGAAGATGTCTTTTTTTTCTTTTTGATAGTTTTTTAGGCTTGTTTTAAGTTGGTCCAAGCATTTTAGACCTCTTTTTAGGTCTATAATTTTCTTGTTTTTTCTCTTTTTTCTTTGAACGAGGAGGAGGGTCTCTTACTACACGAATTCTTTTTAACAATAGTTCTTGTTCGAGATGATTGAATAGGAGAAGAAGAAAAAAAACGGGACCCTCTTTTTTCGTTTTTTTAGGAAAAAAGGGATGTTCAGTCCTCCCACTTTTTTTGTGTCATAAGCTGTAAACATAACGATATTCCATTTTTTTTTGCGTTCATTATTCTTTATTTAGATTTCTTTCTCCTTTCTTTTTCATGTTCAGAAGATTCCGAAAGATCTAGAGTTTTGAAATTTGAAAATTTCGCCATACTGCTAAATCAATTTATATCTAACGTTTTGAAACATCTTCTCACAAAATTTCAGCTTTCTAGCTCTTCTGGGAGCCGAGATACAGCATTTCGAATGTTTTAGGGTAGCCGCGACGCGGCCGCGCCGCGCAGGTCAAAACTTTGAAGAGTTGTATCTCAGTAGAGCGGGAAAGCTCAAATTTTGTGTGGGTACTAACATCAATAATTAGTTTTATATGTTCTGTTCAAGTTTGAAAATTCGGAAGTTGATTTTTAAAAATTTGGGATTTGTATTTCCATTTTTAAAATGATTTTTTAGCATTTATTGATTTCTTGTACTTTAACAATTCTTCTCACGAAATTTCACTCTCCTAGCTCTTCTATGAGCCGAGATACAGTGCTCCAAAACTTTTGAGAGCCGCCACGCGGCCGCGCCGCGTAGGTCAAAACTTTGAGGAGGTGCATCTCGGCGCCCAGTAGAGCTAGGAAGCAGAAAATTTCAGGAATTGCTAAACAGAGTTTGTACTTCAAATTTTTCAAAAAAGAAGTAGAAAAAATACTTTTAAAATTGTTTTGAAATCAATCTTTTTTTTTGGACTTTTTGGACATAAAATATCACTGGCTTTTTTTGTCCTTTAGTCCCGTGTCTCTTTTTTTGAGGGGTCCTGCAAAAAAGTTCAGTAGGAAGAAGTATATAATAAATTTTGGAGTGTCTCTTTTTTTCTGTAGTGGGCTCATTTTTATGGTTGAGCAAAAGTTTTTAGCACGGGGAGGAGGAGTTTTTGTTCTTTTTTTGGGGAGGTAAAAAAAGAAAAAAATATATATTTTTGGTCTTTCTTGGTTTTAGGAATTCTGAAATTCAGAAATTCAAAAATTCAGAAATTCAGAAGTGAGATTCTGAGATTCTGAGATTTTGAGGGGAAATCATATTTTTGATCAGTTAATCAAAAAACCAATTCTTCTGTTCCAATCAACTATTTTCTTCCGTTTTTTTTTGCCAATTTTCTCATAATCCAATCAATTTTTTCTATTTTTCCCTCGGTTCTTATTAATTTTTTTTGGCGTTTTCTCTGAGAAAATTTTTCAGACTCTGAACGAAAAAATAGAGAAAAGAAGGCGTCAAGTTTCCAGAATATTCTCAAATTTTCCAGAAAATTCTTTTTATTTTGCACTTTGTTATCTTTGCAAAATTTGAAAAAAAAAAACGAAGAAAATAATTTTTCGGGGAGATGAGAGATTTTATTTGAAGTTTTTTTTTCCGTTGAAAAAAAAGAAAGATGCATTTCGGAGCAAAAATTTATTGGGCCTTTAGGCGGTAGATTTTTGTTGGACCCGGCGAATAAATTCTTGAATCGCAAAAATATTTTTTTTTGAGAGTTCTTCAATTTTCATTCGAAACATGGAAGTTTTAAACTCCGAAATTTTTTGAAATGTTCTGATTTCCATTTCATATTTCAATACATTTTTTTTATTTTTTCGGAATTCTGAAATTTAATACGATTTCTAGTTTTTCAGAAAAATTAGAAAATTAATTTATTCATTGGATTTTCGATTTTTCGAAAAACAATCTGAAACTTTATAGACTTTCTCCGATTTTCCGATTTACCGTAAAACCTGTATTAGAAGGGCTGGTCTTTCTATTGTTCATAGGTATCTCCGGAGGGTCCTTCTATTACAGGGACCCTTCCATTTTTCCTTCCAGTGTTTTCCGAAATTTAGCATTAAAAAACTCGACGAAGTTTCGTTCAAAATTCATGAAAATCTGTCAATTTCACCAAAATTTAGCAAGATTTTTATCGGAAAATAGAGTTTCAACAAATTTCTATTAAATTGTGGAGTTCCCGCAATATTTTCCACTGAAAAAGTACGGAAATTTTCAGATTTCAAAATACATTTTGAGGGGGGGGGCCCTTCTATTACAGGGGGCTCTTCTATTTTTCCAAGCCCCTCTCGGAAGGTTCTTCTATTAGAGGGACCCTTCTATTAAAGGCGCATTTTTAATACAGAAAAAGATGTTTTGATGAAATTTCCAATATTCGGACCTTCTGATTTTTTTCTGAATTTCTGAATTTCGAATTTCTGAATTCCTGAATTTCTGAATTTCTGAATTTCTGAATTCCTGAATTTCCGAATTCCTGAATTTCTGAATTCCTGAATTTCTGAATTCCTGAATTTCTGAATTTCTGAATTTCTGAATTTCTGAATTTCGGAATTTCTGAATTTCTGAATTTCTGAATTTCTGAATTTCTGAATTTCTGAATTTCTGAATTTCTGAAATTCTGAATTTCTGAATTTATGAATTTCTGAATTTCTGAATTCCTGAATTTCTGAATTTCTGAATTTCTGAATTCCTGAATTTCTGAATTCCTGAATTTCTGAATTTCTGAATTTCTGAATTCCTGAATTTCTGAATTCCTGAATTTCTGAATTCCTGAATTTCTGAATTTCTGAATTTCTGAATTCCTGAATTTCTGAATTCCTGAATTTCTGAATTTCTGAATTTCTGAATTTCCGAATTTCTGAATTTCCGAATTTCTGAATTTCTGAAAATGAAAATTTGAAAAAAAAAATCTGAGGATTCCAAAAAATCCAAAAGCAACCCTAAAACTATTTTTCCCAAAATTCCAGAACATTTTTCAGCTGTCTCCCCCCCTCCCTATTAAAATCCCTCATTTTTCTCCTCATTTCTCCAGATTCTAAGATTCAGAATATTTCTTTTATTCCAGAATTTCCGGATTTAGAAAAAAGGAAAACGATGAAAAATTTCTCCATTACACTAATGAGAATGTGGGCGGAGTTGTTGGGTTGGTAAAGTTTTCATTTCATATATTGCTCATCCTTAAGAATACTTTTCTAGATACTCATTTGTCATCCAGTAGTCCTTCTGGTGTGCTATGAGCAATGAGCTACAGTAGTCCTTCAAGGGAAAACATTTAAAATGCGCCTTTTGATCTTTCTAGCTTCTCCTGAAGCCGAGATATAGTAATTTGCAGTTTTCGAGGAGAGAGACGCAGACAGCGAGACACTCTAATAGTCTGCGTCTCTTCGAAACTTTAAATGACTGTATCTTGGGTTCTAGACAAGCTAGAAACATCATTTTCCGATTAAAATGATTCTGATAAAATGAGAATTCCGATTTTCAGCAAAAATCAAAAAGAATCATTTTCCTAGCTCTTCTAGGAGCCGAGATACAGTTGTTTGAAGTTATCGGGGGCAAGAGACGCAGACAACGAGAGGCTCTGACTGTCTGCGTCTCTTCGAAACGTAAATTGGCCGTATCTCGGTTCCTAGATGAGCTAGACACATGAAATTAGTCCCGGAAAAGTTGGAAAATTTGTATTT